TCTCTTCTGCTTCCTTTCTCAACCTCTCCTCTGCCTCCTTTCTCAACCTTTCCTCTGCCTCCTTTCTCAGCTTCTCCTCTATGCTCTTTTTCAGCTTCTCCTCTGCATCCTTTCTCAGCTGCTCCTCTGCTTCCTTCCTCAACTTCTCCTCCATCTCCCTTCTTAGTCTGGCTTCCATTTCTGACTTCTCTTCTTTTCCTTTCAGTGCCTTCTCCTCTTCCTCCTTTCTCAGCTTCTCCTGCGCCTCCTGCAGAATCCTGGCCTTCATGTCTTCTTCTGACTCTCCTTTAGAACCTGCAAATAAAGACAATAACATTTCTTCTGGCTGGTTTGGAGGGTAAGCCATGGCTACACACACAAAGGTAAGGTGTGGCTTTACTGCTTGCCACCTGGCCTGCTGAAGCTTCTGAAGATTGAAAGGCTTGATCTCTCAGCGATGCAAATGAAATGCACTTCTGAACTTTTTTCTGTGGCTCAAAATCCTCTGAGACCTGAAGGGTGGTCAACAGCTTGGACCATGATTCCTCAGGCAGCTTCTTGGCACATTCTACCTTGGGCAGGTGAACTTTGAGGCATACCAACTGTTTAAAGGGGTAGGCTTCACAGGTTACAACACCAAGGTACCAAATGGGCCACCCACTTGCTGTACACCTCATCCTGCTGGTAGATATCCTTGCACTCCCAGATCTGGTGAGAAGGTGGTGGCCCTTTCAGGACATGCCTGACATGGCAGTGTGGGCCATCACTGGGCAGGCAGTCATGGATTGAAACATTAGTGCAAGAACCAACTAACTAGCCTTCCATTGTCATATGTTTTGATGGCTGGAATTCCTTTGGGAATCACCATCCTGGGTTTGCCACCTGAGCTCTCAGTTACAAGTCCTACCCACAGCCCCCATCACCACAGCAAGCACTAACAGCTTAGGCCTAGGTTCCATCTTTTGAAAAAAAGCCAGGTCTCACCATTTTTGCTGATCTCCACATAGAACTGCGGTCTGGCATCCCCTCCCTTGTTGGCCTTGGCATGTCCATCCCATACCAAAACAAAACAAGGGGCAGGAGGTGTGACTACATTCAACAGTGAGGCCATGAAGGTGACACAAAGGGCAGGAGGTGTGACTACATCCAACAGTGAGGCCATGAAGGTGACAAAAAAACAGGAGGTGTGACTACATTCAACAGGCAGGCCATGAAGGTGACACAAAGGGCAGGAGGTGTGACTACATTCAACAGTGAGGCCATGAAGGTGAAAACTTCTCACCAAGGCAAGGGGCATTCTCCTGGTGAGGGTATTTGTTGTTGAAAGCATCCTGCCACCCATATTTGTCTGCAATCTCTGCCTTGGTTTGGTTGCACCTACCACCACCTAGCCAAAACAGTTTTCAACAGTGGCATACAATTCTTGCACTCCATAACTGCTACCCAGGTGGCCAAATTGCTGTAGTCTTTGTTAACTTCACTGAACCTTTTGTGACCACCATTTCTTTGCTCAAACCTGTCCTTTGCTTCACAAAACTTCTTTTGCCTGGGGTTGTCAAACAGCGCGTGAAGTTTGACAACTGCTTTCATTCAAAAACCAAACTGTGTGAACAGGTTTTCTATATGCAGGAAGGCTGCAGCTCTCCCCTGTTCTTAGCCCTCATGTCCCTGACTCTCATAAAGGGAGGGAGACCTGTGAGAAGAAACACAGCCTGGCCCAGCCCTATGTCATCCAGCATCTGCCTTTGACCTGAAGAAGCACATTGCACCCATAGCAATACATGTTGGGTTGGTGGGCATGGGGTGTGAATTCAAAGGACAGCAAACTGAGGTGCAACTTTGCCATAAGCACCCCCACCATCTGGAAATGAGTCCTCATCCATCTTCTTCAGGAAGCGCAACAGGTCTCGCCTACCAAAGAGCAGGCTTGGCCAACTCCAAAGAGCACAATTGAACACATCACCACAAGAAAATGCCTGGGAAAAATGTTTGAAGCACCAGATTTCCCAGCTGTTTTGGCAAGCTGGCACTTAGGAACCTCCCTCCTGTCAAGGACTGCGCCTAAGAAGCCACTCACAATCACATGGCCCACCAAAAGGCAAAAAAAACAAAAATAAAACACACACACACCAACACTAAGATCTTTCATGCTGGCCCCCTACACCCTGTGCAAACCAGGGCTCTTTCAGCATCACTGGACTCATCCTTCTTCTTGCCTCAGGAGGTAGAGGGTTGGGAAACTATTGGTAGGGAGTGCGCACAGTGGTTTGACTAAAGCCTTGCAACTAGAACCTGCTTGAAATGAAAGGGTAGAAGTTTGACAAAGACAGGTGACCTTTGCCTTTCTTGTCAGTCTTTTTCTTTTTCTTGCCTTTCTTGTCTTTCTTGTTTTTCTTGGCCTTTCTGCCACTGCCAGAGCTGGACCTGAAAGAAGCAATGGCATTACATTACCTTACAAAAGGCACAAAACACCAACACTTGGCCCACCATACTTGATCAATGTTAGTTTCCTCCAACCCTCAACCAAAGCCAAGAGTCTCTGAATATTCATAGCCTAAGTTTCCATGGGCTTAATACTGCTTCAAGTGGGTGTAAAACAGTTGAGCCCCAAACAAAGCACATAAACAAACACATTACAGCAACAGTAGCTGTACTCATCACCTTCTGCTTCATCATAAGTACTTCCAACTCCACTCCCACCAGCACTGAGAGATGCCAAGCTGGTTGGCCTCCCCCCCCCCTGGTGGCCAGCATCCTGGATAGCCTGGTGGTGGGGCAGCTCCATTGCCCATAGGAGGCATCCTGGGCTATGTGGAATTTGTGAACTAGATAATTGTTGTGGTTTGTTTGCTTCTTTTGCTGGCACACTGGCCCAAATAAAGCCAATGCCACCTGTCAACACATTAATACAACAGGTGCACCTTTGTGACTGACCAGGCTCTGATTAAAAAAACTGTTGAAGCCAGTGCACAATGCTGTGCCTGGCCAAAGGAAAGACAGCCAAGTGACCCTGCATTCCAGTGAGGTGAGTGTCCAGAGAGCATATGCCTGGTCCACACACATGGTTCAAATCTCAAGCTACACCATGTAGCAAACCCAAGGCCCCTGCAACATTCAACACCACAATATATATATATATATATTATATATATACCATATATATAGGTGTAATATATATATATATAAATCTGACCACTCACATAGCCCCAATTCATGGCACAACTTCTGTTGAATGCACAACATGGGCCAATGGGTAAGTGCCACCTACCCTAAACAATAAATTCTGGAATTGAAGTTTGTCTCACCCTTCTATAAACCAACTGCCTGTTTGCCATGCCAAGTTGCTCTGGGAGAGTGGAAGGCCTCTTCCTTTTTCTGTGCTGTGGCATGGCTTGACAGCTCAGGTCAGGTCACCACAGGAAACCCACTGAGCACCAAAAGGGCTGCACCATGTGGTTTTCTGAACACCCTGGTTCACCAATGGACTCACCAATCACCTGTTGGCCCTCCACTCTGGAAGCAACAACACACTCTCAAACAATGCCATTCATGCTAATCATCTTGAACTCTTCTTGAGATTTGACTGGAAGGATTTGGAATTAAATAGTATTTTTGGAATGATGGTGGAGTCTGGAAAAACCACCTAAAAAGCGACCCTGCTATAAAGCGACCCTAGCATCACAGAAGAGTTGTCTCAGTTATAACCATGGTTATAACTTGGTTATAAACAGCCTGATCGAGACAAAACTTTAGCAACCAGCGCGAGCATCCAAGTAAGGTTCCCCCTGGGCATCCTCCATTGCCACTCTCTACCACCCGCCTGTTGGGAACGAGGAGCTAAGGCTCTCATTCCTACTGGCTCACTATATTGCGAATGGCGAAAAGAGGTCGACGGTCCTACTACTTAGTGTTTGCGCATTTCCCTTACCGTTGCTTGCTGTCGGTGTGCTTATCCACCATTCCCGCTGCGTTAGCATTGCTGGTCTTTGCAGGTCTGGAAAGTCTGCTCTCCATTGATCACTGGCTTTTGCCGACCACTCTCGGCGCTGCTTGGACTAGACGAGTTACCCACCTTTGTCAGGGACATGTGTCCTTCGCCATGCGTTGCCTTTTCTTTGCTTTTACTTTGCTCGAAAGTGCGAACCGCCTGCAAAAGCGCATAGCGCCATGTACAGCAGGAGTAGAAACCTCCTGTAGAGAGGTACGCTGACGGAAGGCTTCTTTGCCGTGATCCTCAGCTCTACTCATGGTATTTGGCCTGCTGTGGCTTCTGGCCTACTCTGGACTCGAGCTAAGGCGCGCGCCCAGACTCTTGATGAGTGTCAGTGAGACTGCGATAGCTGTGATCCGAGTGGCTTGTCTTCATCCAAGACCAGGGGTGTATCCCATGTCCGGGATCATATGCAGCCAGGGTGGCCATCTCATATCGGGACAAATGGCGAAAGCATTTTCTTCAGCATAGACTCCTCGCCATTTGTGCTTGCCTGGCATTTTGGCGAGCCTCTTAAAGGCAGTGCAATCCAAGAAAGCCCTACTTCCAATGTATCTTAATGAAGGCGGGATTGCAAGCTCAACTAGGGCTGCACAGTTCATAAAGGCTTTGACTCGGATTGTATGGAGAGTAGTCGGAAGGAGAACTTCTCTGAGGCTAGTGCCGTGCACAAAGGTGAATTCCGGAATTTCTTCTACATTGGTGTTGCAAAGGTCTACACTCTTAAGCAGTCGACAACTGTCACACGCATGCGCTCCAATAGCCGTAAAATGCTTCGTGAGAGCGAGTGCGGTGATTCCCGTAGAGCTAAGACAGCCCGGTGCCAGCTCACTGGTCCTAGCTTGCAGTGTTGACCCTCGGGGGGATGGAAGCTCACTCAAGGTAACCTCAGCAAGGTTAATACACCCTTGAAAGAGGTATTGCCCGAACTTGGCTTCGTTGCTGAACTTATTTGCAACCCCTTCCGATGCATACACCCATGGTAAGGAACAGCATTCCGCAAAGGCCTTGTATCCAAAATCCCGGCAACCAGGCGCCGAGACACTGTTTAGTAGCTTGCAGTCACGAAAGGCGTTATCGGAACTGTCGCCGGCAGTTTGACAATGCGGAGCTGTCGACAATTTTGCCAAGCCTCTGCTCCAATGAGCCTGATACCTGACTCAACACTGACATGTCGCAGACGCGGAACCCCTGCAAAAGCCCCTTCTGGGACGATTTTCTCTGGGTTCATAGGGACATGAACGGCAAGCGGAACCTGATGGATAGGGCAACCTTCGAGTTGTTCCTGTGATGGCAGGATGACACTGCTATCCTTGAAGACAACGGTGTATGCCATGCCTTGCTGTAGCCTGTCCCAGATTGGGTCCTCAAGGTATGACTGTGTGGCAGTTTGTAGAAAGTAGATGGAGCATCCAAACACTTTGAGGTCAGTAACTGAGGCCAGATAGTCCATAACCTGGTCTTCTAGGTCCTCAAATCGGTCAAACTTTGCCACACTGAGAGAGACCTTGATAGTCACCCCCGAGAGCGTGGTCAGTACCAAGGAGCAGTCCATGACCGGCTCCATTTCAGGGCAAGTGCTAAGCCTGGATGAGTCGTCGAGCTCCATGTATGGCAGACTACTTTCATTTACTGTTTGAGCCAAAAGCTTATGACTCTGCGCATGGACTGTTCCTAGGGCCAGGGATGTTTCCGGAAGACAGATGCTAAGGCACCCACCTTGAACCTCACATGAACTGGCCTAATGTTAGGAGAACTCTTGGTATAGCTCTTCGTCAAAGGCATCCGAATCGGGCCCATCCGCAGGGAGCAGCTCCACCCACAGGGGTTTTTCAAATTTGTCACACATGAAGAAAGCGTTGTGCTCTGCCTGCACCCACTGTTCAATATCTCCCCAATCCAGGGGAGTGAATCGCTGCAGTTGCTCACACCCGCAGAAAGCACGGTTGCCTATGTCACTGAGCTCTGTCGGGATGACTACTTCTTGGAGCGCAACACAATTAAGGAAAACTTCTTTGCCAATTTGCGTGAGTCGTGGTGGTAGCCATATGCAATTTAAGGCTACACAGTGGGCAAAGGTGGAATAGAGTAGGGCTGTGATTTCTGTGCCCATGAGGTTGACCTCCACAAGTCTTTTGCAGTTTTCACAGGCCCGCGGCCCAATGTTGTGAAAGTCACTTGGCAAGCAGAGCTGTTCAATGCCTGCTCCACAAAATGCACCTTCAGGCAGCGCTCGAGGTTTGTTGGTGTGGTCCATGTCAAAGGTGATGGTTGCAAGCGTGAGGCAGCTCTCAAATGCATATTTGCCTAGTTGTGCTCCTGGTGCTAGGACGTTGCTGTCCTCAGTTTCGTGACTGACACCAACCCGACCTAGGGAGCAGCACTCCGCAAACACTCTTCGGCTGTACTGGACACACCGGGGCGGCCACCTCTCTCAGTACATAGCACCCCTGGAAGGT